ATAATTATACTTTCAAATGCCCTAAAGATAAAACTGAAACATTTCAACTGAACAGGTATAAACATGCCAGCTTTGAGTTACAGACGTCTAGCAATGTCTTTAAGTCTTAAAACATGGCTGGAGGAAAATCACAAAGCATGCAGACTAACACTGTTATAAATTCATTATCTTTAACTTTAAATGGGCCCTAAATGATGCCTAATAATATTTTTATTTTTTAAAATGTTTATTCTCCTCAAATCTCTGGCCTTGGCACCTTTCCTCTCCTTTGTGCAATGAATGATCTCTTCTTAGTCCGCTGAAAAAACAGATTCCTTCCAACAAACCCACAAACTTGTCTGCAGTAACACCCATTCATTTCTTTCATCCAAGCAACTGAACAAAAACATATATCTCCACTTGAATACTTTATTGCCACCTCACTCCAAAAGCCTAAAATGTACTCATTACCTTTTCTCCAAAACCTGCTCCCTTTCTTGCATTCCCTATGTGAATAAATAAGTTGTCCGTGTCGGAATCTTCTTTTACCTACCATATGAGACATAAAGCTTCCTCCTAAATGTCTTACGACTCTTGCTATTTCAACTCCCACTGTCAGCCCTGCCATATTATATCTTTTAGTTCCTTGAATTCTGTCTTGTCTCTTAGTATTTGTCTCTGTATAGAATCATCTTTTCACCACCTTACTAAGCCAACAATGTGTTCAAATTTTAATCAAGATACCTTGTCTGCATTGCTGCCGCACCAAAACTGGGTAGAGTTCCCAGAATGCCTGTTACAGCATCACTGCCTAATGTTAACAAGTCCTCACTTGGATCGAATGTTCTGAGGCCAAGAACTGGAACATGTCTGTCTGAGTTGATGCTGTGCTCTCAACACTAAGTATAGTGTCAGAACTATAAATGTGCTGAATAATGGATAAGTATAAATGAATTAATAAAACACATCAACTTACCAGTTATTTGTTGTGTAGATCCGTTTAAGCCCGTCATTCCATTAATTTCTCGAAATGTTAAGAATTGTCCTGTCTCAAGTTTGTGAGGATGATTTTCAAGGCAAGTGACAATGCCAGGATTAGCCTAAAAATAAGAGTAATGTACTAATAAAGAAGTTCATGTATTCCTTTTCGTACAAATTCCCAATCTCACACAAAAAGTACCAGGTAATTATAAAATTCTCAAAACAACCAAAATTCCAAGCATTCTTTATCTTCCTTAGTAAAAGCAAGCCATTAAGGAATTGTCACAAAATAGTAACCAACTTATTATTTTATTGTAAATGTTTAAAGTATAATTTCTATGTTTGGGGGAGACAGAGATTCCACATAGGAGTTCAAATATTTTATAGATTCAAATATTTTAGTGATTTATAAAAACCACTTGGAAGTTATCGATGTAACTTTTAAAGTCATGTTATAAGAAACTCTATGTACATAAAAGATGAGAGTCTAACTTTGAAGATTAAAGAAAGGTGAGAAAGCAGGATGGAGATTTAAAGCCAGGAAACTGGTAGTTTAAAGCTTGCTCAACACTTGAAAACAAAGAAATATTGTGTAGGCCAGCTTATCAGGATAAAAATAGAAACAAATTGGCTTATCTCACCAAAGAGGATGGATGAGATAGGTCGAAGGCCTGGAAATTTCCTAATTGCATATAATCCTACACAATGCTTGACTAAGGTGATAATAATTTAATCTACATGAACTCTAATGGAATTATCTTTTTCTCTCTCTTTCATAATTGCGTAGATTCTAAAAATTCTCTTGCTGCTTAATGATTTGGAAAAGAATAAAATCACGATCACACACATGTTTATAAAATGAATGTGATGTATGTTTGCAATTATCTCAAGAAGAAAAGAATTCATAAGGACTTTATTAAGAAGGAGAAATAATTCTTTTGCAGATAAGTTAAATGGGACCATTTATGATATTATCTAATTCTTTATTGATAACCTCCGTATTTTCTGCATTATTCAATACAAACAAATACCAATGCAATACAAGGATCCATACTCTCCCTTGGAGCTTATTCCAACTGTATGATATTCTCAGAAACAAACTAAAAACAACTACAGAAGGTAAAAGGCTGAATAATAAACCATTCTGTAGGTACAGAATTTTTCAACGAATTTTTCTTAAAAAGGGGGTGAAAAACGCAACATTACATTGGGTTTAAAAATAAAGCATAAAGAGAGTAGCATTATTAGGTCAAAGTATACTATCATTCCCTTATATTGGCTTCTTTTGACCTTTAGTGTAAACTGATTATAAAGAGTGCAAATAAAGTTAATGATTTCGAATAAAAAGAAAGGGTAAAAATGAATCATGATTTTTCCAATTCTTTTAGGGAACAAAAAATTAAACTTACATAGTATCAAAAGAATGTGGTTAGAAAATCAGACTTCTTGATTGGAAGATTAATTAATTCTTAAATTTTCTTCCTCTTCCAAATAATGTTTTAGAAATATAACAAATCAGGAAAGCTTTTGTCTATGAAGACTTAACTGTGCATTTCCTGGGGTCACAGTGTTGGGCCAGGTGACTTATACTTAGTACATCTATGGCCTGACACAATAAACAATTCAGCAAATATTGAATCACAATTCATGTCCCATAGGAACATGAAAGAACAACATTAAAATTTATGACATAAGCATATGTTGACCTATCAATTATTAAATAATGTTAGAAAGAATAGCTTTAATAGAATGCAATCAAGAATTAACAAAAAATTCCCTTATGAATTACCTTAAAATCTTGTAAAACTGACAAATATTGCATCTTATATTTTGCTAATACCACCTATTAAAAAAGAGTATGCACATCAACTTAAAAAACTCAATCATACAGATACAAAATAATATACGTATACAATCATACTTGCGTTATATTTGAAATGAAGATTTCTCTTGGTTCTTCTCCTGTTCTATCTAAAACTTCAAATTCATCACCAAAATCACAAAACAACCGTGACCAAATCCCATGTATATCTGCACTGATGAACTGTGAAATGATAAAGACAAGTTCAAGCTTATCTATTTATATGAAGAAAACAAAAAAGCTCAACTACTTTAGGCCCTTTGATGTCAATTTCATTTATAATTAAGTATATCATTTGGGATATAAAGTAAATCATGAATAGGACAATTTGTCTGTAAATTGGGTCAGTAATGGAGGATTTTGGTATTTGGGACTATATATCTAGTGTTACAAAATTAGAGGTAACATCAATACAATCATACATTCTATAATTTTTAAATAACAAAAATTCCTACCTTGCCTTAAAACAGTAAGACACAGGTATCTTGGTTTAATGGTCTAGCAGTGAATTCTTACTTTTCGTGTTAGAAAAGAATGGAGTGTCCATTCATAAAAAGCAGTATAGCTAACAGGAAATAGAATAGAGATAAAAGCTGAGAGTGGAGTCAACAGAAAAAGGGCTGAAGAACTGACAGTGCACATCAAAATCATGAAAGGTAAAAGTCAGATTCTTTCACAGAATCATAAATGTTTTATTGAAAGTGATTTTTATAACATACTCTCCATTCTAAATCTGCAAAGAAATTGTTTTCGTGTTCAGTTATTTTTATTGATAATAAAGAAAAATTCTTACTTTAACATGTATGATCCTATATAANAAGGAATCCTTATCTTTTAGAGCTATTCACTAAAATAATTAAGGATGATATAATAGGTGTCTGACACAGCAAAATAATTTGGTTGTTGGGGGCCAGTGGATACATGAAACAAATTTGTCTATAAGCTGATAATTGCAGCTGCATGATGGCCACATGGGTTTTGTTAAAACTATTCTATTTTTGTACAATTTTGAAATTTTCTATAAAAAAAATTTTTTTTAAAGGAAAGTAGAGCATTAAAACAATTTTGCTACTAAATGAAGAAACAATAATTAGGCCAAAGTATAAACAATATTGCCACTACCTGATGAGCAAGAAAACAGAAAAAAAAGAGTTCATAACAAACAATCCTTCTTACCAAGGATATTTTCTCACCTTAATTCCTGCAAGAGTAAGATTCTTTGCTACAAAGAAAAAGAAAAAGGAATAGCTTATTATTAGGAATGTATATTAGATATGTCTTCACGGAGCTTGTTCCTATCTCTGACAAGTAAATTTTAACTTTTTGACTACTTAAGAAATACAAGTCCTTCAGAAAATAGATGAACAAAAAAGAAAAAAATTTCCATAATCACACCACACTGAGATAATTACTCTTAAAATTTTAGTGTATTCTTCCAGATACGTTGTTACGAATATATGTACATGTGCTCTATCATAACGAATTAATGGATACAGAGAATAATCATTAATGACTATTAACATCACAAAAAGAGAAGCAAGACAGTCATTACTGATTCTTTGTGGGAGAATATAACAGTATCATGAAGTAGTTTTGTTAAAAGAATCAGAACTAAATCAAATAAAGGTTTTATATCTAATTTCCTTTACAGAAATAATACATGGAGAAGGAGTAAAATCTTTAAATTACTTTGCTCAAAAGTGTTATATAAAATTATGAATAAAAATACTGCTTACCAATTTCCAAACCAAGACCACCCATACCGCTTAAGAAAACATGGGACTTGGCCATCTTCTGCATTGCTGTGTCTCCAAGAACATATCTCTGTCGACTACACGTAAAACACAATAAAAAACAATAAATTATTTCATCAAAATTATATATCCCTTTAAAGTTGTTTGCAAACTAATAGCTGGGCAACTAGATCCTACCCATAGACTGTTTTAGGCTTTTGGATCACTTGAAAAGCGTTTAAATTTTTCTGAATTAATTACCAAATATATAACATATTATGAAAACTTAATGGATTTAGCATCAGGGTCCACATTCCCCAGAAGTAGTTGAGACGTTTCCTCTTTACATAGGGAGGGCTATGTGCTCCAGACTTAACAACACTTCTATCCTGCTTCTCTTATTACCTCAGCAGCCACTGTAAGCATCTGAGTTTGCCATTTCCCCTTTAAGTCTCTCACCGTAAACAGGATCCCTGAAGCAAAAAATTGGTTCCCTTCTTGGAGTTCTGATCACTTAAAATTAAGCAGTTTTCAAAAATTTACTTTAACTATAAAAACTGATAAAGTATATAAAAGATCTTGTTAAAGCATCCATTCTAATAGCCACAAGGTAGTATCAGGATGGAAATTTTAAAAAATACACATTAACAATTTTTAAAAGTCAGAAGCAATAATGAAGTCAATAATAAGGGTTTATTTGACAGAACAGTGATACACTTTATACTATACCAGCTTTTAATCCAATGGACATTCCAATGGGTTCTTATGAGAATCATTTGACAGATGAGTTCAGTATAAATAACAAAAAATTCCAGAACCCCTTGGGTTACAAGTATTTCTTTTGGAATTCACACACACACACACACACACACACACACACACACACACTCTTAATGTATGTCTTTTTAATATGCAGATGTGAAATTAANCATACATAAATGATATTTACTATTCTTTCATTCAATATACTGAATCTCTCAAACTTGCCAAGAAGAACGACATTAGAAGAAGCTGAATGTTACAAAATTTCAAGGGAAATTTAATAAACAGTAGAAGAAGAAAGAAGCTAAGATTTATTTATATTTATGGATAATAATACAATTTTGACATGTAGCTTACTGTTGTATTCCATAGTAAGACCCACAATCTCAAAGTGCACCCTTATAGTTCCATGCTGCCAGTGCCTTAAGTCTTTTAATGATCCAGAAATTAATAAAGACCTTCTTTAACAATCTTAAAGAAATTAATTCCTAGGGAGCAATGTGAATGTATTAAACATGTGACAAATATAAATAATCAAATAAAAAAATCCTATGATAATACATCAATATCTTATCTTTACCTGTTTCTCATATTAACAACATCATCTTCACAGAGAAAGAAATTGGTTCCCAGATCCCATGCTTGGCATTTTTCTGAATCATGAATGGTAAGTGCCTTCAAAAAAGAGAAAAATATCTGTTAAAATCAAGAATAAGGCAAGGATGTTCACTATCTCCAATACTATTTACATTGTATTAAAAGTATTATCCTGTGTAATTAAGACAACAGAAAGTAATTAAAAGCTTAAGAATAGGAAAGGATGAGAAGTTAGATGAAATGACTATATACATCTGGAAGCCCAGAAAAATTAATGTAAAAACTACTTTGAGCAATAAGGGAATTTAAATTTAGGAAAGTAGCATGTTATATAAATCAACATACAAAAATTTTAACAGTTCACATAAACATTTCCCAATGTTCCATGTTCAAAGTAAGAAAGATAACTGGAAAAATTTTTTTGCTATTTATAGGCTACAAATCTTATTTTAAAAAAGAGGCAAGTTATATGAACATGGATTATACTAAAAAAGAAACGCATTTGGCACTGTAAAAAAATAAGTAAGCTCAAGAATTTTATAAGTACCCTTTTTCATTCGTCAGAATGGCATAAATCCAGAAGTTTGACAATATACTCTATTGGTGAGAATGAGATGAATTAGGCATTCCCATGTTACTGTGAGACTGTGAAGCAGCACAATCTCAATGGAAAGGAATTTGCCAATCTCTAGCAAAATGACATGTGCATTTATCTTTTGATAGAAAAATCTCACCTTTAAGAATCTAACACAAAGACACACTGGGAATAACATAAAAAGACATGTACAACAGTCTTAACTGCAGCATTATTTGTAATAGCAAAAGACTAGAAATAATCAAAACATCCACAATGAAGAACTGGGTATAATAATAAATGCTATATCCATGAAAAGAGTATCAATGTAGCTATAGAAATAGAATGAAATACATGTATTTATCACTATGGGATAATCCCAGGATATGCTGTTAAATGATAAAAAGCAAGGTGGAGGAAAGTATGGTACTTTACGAAAAGCAGATAGGGATAAATATGTACACACACACATACAGATTTTCATTTTCATATGTCTGCATTTACTTCTATTTAAATACAATGAAAAAAGAGAAATGACCTAATAAAGAAAGGAGGAAATAGGGTACAGAGAAGCTGGACTTACCTGAATTTACTTTGTTTTATAAATTTGACTTTGAATTTTGTCTCACATAATAGTAAAACTAAATTAAATTTAAAAAGCAATCCCTAAACATCCAAAGCAAAATAAATAAATAGACAAAACTATCTAGTGAATTTGTCACATAACTACCCACAGGAATGATTTAAAGTGACTTAAAAAGAATCTTAAATTGTTTTCAATAGTAATAATATTTTTANTTTAAATGTCAAAAAAAAGGCCAAAAATATTATAAAAGCATGGGAGAAAAATTTCTTTAAAACATTGTAGAGAGGATGGCTTTTCTAATTATGATTCAAAATAAAAACCATAAAAGAAAAAAAATTCTAAAGTCTGATATTATATACACACATAAAAACCAATCACAAGCAAAGTCAAATGCCAAACTAGAAAAAAGTATTTGTAATTTATATGAAAAAACTGGACAAATATGCCCGATATTTTAAGAGTTCCAAGAAACTTTTAAGGAGATAATCAACAAACAAGTCAACAGAAAATGAGCATAGGATAGATGATTCACATTAAAGAAAAAACAAACAGCTCTAAAACTTAAGAAAAGATACTTACTCTCATTCATAATATGTAAAACGCAAATTAAAATTATACTGTGATACAAACTCATTCATATCATGAAATGCTATGCATCCATAAAAGAAAATTTATAGGAAAAAACCAAAAAGAATGTTCTGCCATTACTGATGTGAAAATATCATCCAGATATTTTGCTTCATGAAAAGGCAAAGGGCAGAAGTATATGCAATACGCCATACTGTACGTCAACAAGCAGAAGGAAAGCCTGGAAAGACACACAAACTAAGAACAGCAAATGGGTGATAACTGAGGGGGAGCCACAGGTGGGCAGAAAAGTTTTCACTACTAACATTTGGTTTTTATTGTTTTTGAACCATTTGCTTATTTAAAAAAATTGAATAAACAGTAAGCCCTTTTTCCCCACAGGCCATATATATGTATGTTTCCTAAACAGCCACTCCAAATATTCTTTCTCTGCCCAAAGAATTTTTGGGACAAAATGTGGGTTTTGTTTATTTACTTAATCCTTGATACCCAGTGGCTCTCATTTTATATGTATCCTCAAAGTTTGACCCATCACCACAATCCTCTATTGCATGGATCCCAAAATTAATTAACAAATTAATTCTAAATGATTAGCTGAGTCATTATTTGCAAAAACAGATACAAATTCTTTAATATCAGT